GTGCCAACAGGACAAGGTGGAGCTCAAGAAACCAGGTGGTCACTTAGAGCCATTGCCAGTGCTAGAGCAACCATGGGAGAGTGTTTCTCTGGACTTTATAGTCGGTCTACCCAAAGCAAAAGGGTTTGGAAGCATCCTGGTAGTGGTGGACAGGTTTTCCAAGTATGGAATCTTCATTCCAGCAACCAAGGAGTGCCCAGTCGAGGAGGTAGCTCGATTATTCTTGAAGAACATGGTTAAGTACTAGAGAGTGCCGATGACCATTGTTAGTAATCAAGACGGGCATTTCACGGGCAGGTTCTGGACTGAGTTGTTAAAGCTGTTGGGGTCAGACTTAAACTTTTCCACCAGCATGCATCCACAGACCGATGGGCAGATAGAATGAGTGAAGGACTATTGGAGGTCTACCTCAGGCACAATGTGAGTGCGACATAAAGGGATTAGCCAAAGCTACTAGATATTGCACAATTTTCCTACAACTTGCAAAAGAACGAGGCAACAAACTAGAGCCCATTTGAGGTTGTGATAGGGCAACAACCACTAACACCCAGTTTGATTGCTGCAGGTTATACAGGGCCGAATCCAATAGCATATAAGTTTGCCAAGGCATGGTAGGAGCAAACTGACTTGGCTAGAGTCTGTCTACACAAAGCGGCCGAGAGGTTGAAGAAGTGGCAGACCAGAATAGGCGGGACGTACAGTTCCAAGTTGGGGACTTCGTGTTGGTGAAGCTGCATCCCATTGTGCACCACAAGGGGCTGCACAAAGGCCTAGTCCGGAGGTATGAGGGACCTTTTCGAGTAGTCAAGAGGGTAGGCAAGGTTGCCTACAAGCTGGATATGCCACCCAAGCTGAGGGTACACTCGGTGTTCCATGTAAGCATGCTCAAACCGTTCCATGAGGATGAGGGAGATCCAGGATGGATAGAGTCAAAGCGTGCACCATTGGGAGCAAGGGCCTCATATGAGAAGGAGGTCCACAGCATCATAGCTGACCAAGAGGTGAGACAGAAGAACTACCAACCAAGACAAGAGTACTTGATGCGCTGGAAGGGACTTCCAGATAGTGAAGTGAGCTGGGAACCAGCAGAAGACTTATGGCAATTCGGGGACCAGATAAGGTGGTACCATGCAGAAGATGCAACAATGGTGTTGCACAATCAGGTGGGGAGAATGTCATGCCTTGGGCGGGTGCGCCAAGCACATCAGGTGAGCCAGAGGTTGAGGCCTGCAGACTAGGCGCACTGGCGGGTATTTACACGCAAGGCCTAGGAGACAAGGTCAGAATGCCAGCCCAGCTTGTAGGACAGCCCGTGAGGCCAAGGCCTGGCATGCAGGCTGCCCACACCATATCCAGAAAGGCCCAAGGTGCTGGATACGCAGGTGAAGCTTCTGAAACCTTGCAGGATCAGCAGGAGCCTCCTAGCAGATTTGGTTAACCTAGAAATCAAGAGTTAGAATCCTGATTGATTGTAATCTGTATAATCCCATTATTCTAGGGATATTGCCATTAAGTGTAGTTAGAGCCTCAACTATAAATAGAGGGCTGCTCCACCCTAATTTGTACACCGTCAAACACTTCTGTTTCAGTTAATACAGAGCATATTCCAGCATTTTGCCTTGTTATCCTGTTTCTCTTTAACTTGCGTAATCAGCCCTTCCCATTGTTCTAGTGCCCGCATGCTTGTGTTTTAGGTTGACTTAGGCATAAAGGAGGAGATTTCGAGCCTAAGGCCGCAAGGATTCCGAGTCTAAGGTCGAAGCCCTGTGACACCTACACCAAGGCCCAACACGTGCCGATGGTGCTCAAGGCAACCGCCTGCACCAAGGGCCATCTTCTGTCGATGCTCATCAAGGCATGCATGTGTCGATGGTGGTTGAGGCAATTGCTTGTTTCAAGGGCCAACTTGTGCCAATGGAGGTCGAAGCAAGTGCCCTTACGAAAGGGCAGCCTGTGCTGATAATGGTTGATGCATGTGCAATCACCATGCACCATCATATGCCGTTAATGGTCGAGGCCTTGGCTGAAGTTCAATTTTGAGACACGGTGCACATGTTGGGCTCGGGCATGTGCTAGTGAAACATTTTTTTTACCCGGGGCACCATCGCCGGAGCATGGCTAGAGAACCTGACCGACGGCATTGGCGGTTCTGGCGATTGAGGGTCCGGGGGGTGTGCGCACATGATGTGAGATGGGTGCTTGTACTTAGCCCTTATATTGGCCCCCTATCCCTCAACAAACCTCGACAACTCACACCCCCTTAAAGAGCATATGATATTTTACAGGTTTGTTGCCAGTTACCATTCAAGTGTCTGAAATGGGGACACTTTTTTCAAATGGCCACAAAATCTTCTACACTTTGAGTTTTTAGCTGATTTTTTTTCCATACCAAAAAAAATAAAAGGATCAGGTCTACCAAATTTGGGGCTAAAAATCCTTCTAAAAAAATTTTAAAAAATCTCTAACCGCAAAAAATTTCAAAAATCATGAAAAATAGAAAACAAGTCATCTTGCCATGAAACTTCACAAGAAGGCTTAAGGGACCATTGTATTAATTTAAAAGCCATAAAAAAGGCATTGGCATGGCATAAATATGAAGATGTGCCTAAACCCACCTACCACTTGATCGTGGAGCGCATGGTGCTCGGCCTGAGCTTAGGACACCCGCACGTGGTGTACGGGTGCTGGGGAGTGCTCATATGAATTCACAGGCCATAAAAATGAAATTGGCATGGATGAAATATGAAGATGTGACTAAACCCACCTACCACCCGATTGTAGTGCTCATTGGTGCTCGACCCAGGCTTAAGACACCCGCGCGTGGTGCGCGGGCAATGGGGAGCGCTCATATGAATTCATGGACCACAAAAATGGCTTTGGCACTGTAGAAACATAAAGATATCCCCAAACCCACTTACTTCTTGGTCGTGGTGCACAGGGTGCACGGCCCGGGCCCAGGTGCAGCCGTTTGGTGCACGACCCAGCATGGGCAGATGCTGTTTAAGGGAACTACCCACACCAAGGTCTAGCATGTGTCGATGGAGGTCGAAGCATGCACCGTGACCAAGGGCCAACATGTCTCGATGGTGGTTGAGGCATGTGCATGTGTCACAATCAGTAAGCAAGTCAGGATTGACCCTGGGGTTGTAGTGGGATAGGGTCTGACAGCCAGGGGGACCAGGCCTTGAGGCCTACTCGAGGTGTAAGTCATGGGGAACAGGACTGAGACAGTGGTGTGGGCAGTGATCAAGACTCCAGGGGCTCAGGCATGGTGTTAGGTTCGACAGAAATGAGCCAGGACTAGGTGCGGGTGTTGGTGGGAGGTGGGCGGTGCACGGGCACGCAGTCAGACCTACATGTGGGCATACGATCAGACCAGGGGTGTTTGAGGCTGCAGCTCGCACCAAGTGCCAGTGTCACGCCTTGGGTGTGCGCACCAGGAGTTGAGGCCCAGCCCCCAGCGGCCAAGGCTCAAGCACCGTACGGAGAGGCGAGGGTTTCAGCAATACTCATTGTTATTGCTATCCAGACCACCCGCCCGAAAGTCTGGCCTATCCACGACATCGAGACCAGGCCCACAACATGCTCGCACCACATCCAGGTGAGTGAGGCTGAACCAGTACCGTATAGAAAGCCTGTAAGATCTACAGCACATAAAGGGGGACCTGACCGATCCTCAGCTTGCATATTCTGCCTCTCTGGCCGACTTAGTGATCTCATGCTTGTTTCGTAGGTTAGCTTAGGCATATGGAGTTCATTCCCAATCTACTCTCCCATCGGACCAAGGGTTGTGGCCGTAGGAACCGTAGCAGAATCAACAACACGTAGAGGGGGACCCAACCGCTCCTCAGCTTGTGCATTTTGCTTCTCCAGCTTACTTAATGCCCACACGCTCGTTTCATAGTTTGACTTAGGCATACGAAGTTCATTCTCGATCGGGATCGAGGGACAGAGGGCCTCGGGTCATGCCCAACCCTGGAGGGGGGTGATGTAAAAAGAAAGCAGGTCGACAGGGGAAGGGGAAGAGGGAGGGATGAATTAAAGCTACAAAAGGTTGAATCTCAGTGGATCGTGGCAGCAAGGCTACAATGCCACTTACAATACCCCGTGGGGAATAGGACTGAGACAGTGGTGCAGGTAGTGATCAGGACTCCAGGAGCTCAGGCATAGTATTAGGTTCGATAGAATTGAGCCAGGCCCAGGTGCGGGTGTTGGTGGGAGGTGGGCAGTACGTGGGCACACAGTCAGACCGACATGTGGGCATGCAGTCAGACCAGGGTGTTCGAGGCTGTAGCTCGCACCAAGTGCCAGTGTCATGCCTTGGGCGTGCGCACCAAGAGTTGAGGCCCAGCCCCCAGCGGCTAAGGCTCAAGCATCGTACGGAGAGGCGAGGGTTCCAGCAATACTCATTGCTATTGCTATCCAGACCACCCGCCTGAAAGTCTGGCCTATTCGCGGCATCGAGATTAGGCCCACAACATGCTCGCATCACATCCAGGTGGTCCAAGGGAGTAGGGTCGAACTAGAGTCGTATAGAAAGCCTGTAAGATTTACAGCACATAGAGGGGGAACCGACCGATCCTCAAGTTGCGTATTCTACCTCTCTGGTTGGCTTAGTGACCTCACGCTTATTTCATAGGTTAACTTAGGCATACGGAGTTCATTCCCAGTCTACTCTCTGATCAGACAAAGGGTTGTGGCTATAGGAACCGCAGCAGAATCGGCAGCACGTAGAGGGGGACCAGACCGTTCCTTAGCTTGTGCATTTTGCCTCTCTGGCCGACTTAATGCCCGTACGTTCATTTCATAGTTTGACTTAGGCATATGAAGTTCATTCCCAATCTAGATCGAGGGACGGAAGGCTTCGGGTCATGCCCAACCCTGGAGGGGGGCGACGTAAAAAGAAAAAAGGTCGACAGGGGAAGAAGAGGGGGAAGAGGGAGGGATGAATTGAAGCTACAAAGCGCTGAATCTCAGTGGATCGTGGTAGTAAGGCTACAATGCCACTTACAATACCCCATCGCGTATTTAAGTCGTCTGCAAAGGATTCTACCAACAACTCGATGGGAATTAAGCTCCAAGGAAGCCCACGCGGCTCGTTCACCGTAGGGACTACACCTACGACACGTGCCCTTGAGGAACATAGGCCCCTACTACGGGTCGACAATCAGGCAGTGGGCGCACACATCGCTTCTAGCCTGAATTTTGACTTAGAGGCGTTCTGTCATAATCCAATGCATGGTAGCTTTGTGCCACTGGCTTTTCAACCAAGCGCGATTATCAATTGTGTGAATCAACAGTTCCTCTCGTACTAGGTTGAATTACTATCATGCCGTCGCCATCAGTAGGGTAAAACTAACCTGTCTCATGACGGTCTAAACTCAACTCACGTTCCCTATTGGTGGGTGAACAATCCAACACTTGGTGAATTCTGCTTCACAATGATAGGAAGAGCCGACATCGAAGGATCAAAAAGCAACGTCGCTATGAACACTTGGTTGCCACAAGCCAGTTATCCTTGTGGTAACTTTTTTGACACCTCTAGTTTCAAATCCCGAAAGTCTAAAAGAACGATAGGCCACACTTTCATGGTTCATATTTGTATTAGAAATCAGAATCAAATGAGCTTTTACCCTTTTGTTCCACACGAGATTTTTTTTTCTCGTTGAGCTCAAGCCAAAGACAGCATGTGTCACTTGGTATGGTTCGTATGAGTTCCTGGTCATGCCATTAGGACTCACGAATGCCCCAACAACATTTTGCACCCTTATGGACAAGGTACTTTAGTCATTCCTTGATCGATTTGTTGTGATTTATTTGGATGACATTGTGATCTACAGCCAGACATTGGGAGAGCATGTAGACCACTTGAGATAGGTGTTCAAGGTGTTGTGGGTGCACAAGCTGTTTGTCAAGAAGGAGAAGTGCTCATTCGCCCAGTAGGAGATCCCGTTCTTAAGCCACATAGTGGGAGGTGACAGGATACGCATGGATGAAGGCAAGGTGCATGCCATCCTGGAGTGGCAACCGCCAGCCAATGTCACTGAGTTGAAATCATTCCTTGGGCTGGTTAACTACTACTGGCACTTTATCAAAGGTCATTTAGCAATAACCACGCCATTGATTGACTTGCTCAAGAAAAGGAGAGCATGGGAGTGGAGCGCAGGGTGCCAGGAAGCCTTTGACAGGTTGAAGCAAGCTGTGATTGAAGAGCCAGTCTTGGCCTTGCCAGACCATGCCAAGCCGTATGAGGTCCATACGGATGCATCAAACTTTGCCATAGGGGGCGTGTTGATGTAGGAGGGACATCTAGTCACGTTCGAGAGCAGGAAGCTGAACGAGATTGAGCGTAAGTATACGACCCAAGAGAAAGAGATGACAGTAGTGGTGCACTACTTATGCACTTGGCACCATTACCTGTTGGGGTCGAGGTTCGTGGTTAGGACCCAGAAGAAGTTGTCCCCCAAGCAGGCGAGATGGTAAGATTTTCTTACGAAATTTGATTTCCAGATGGAGTACAAGCCGAGGGAGGCGAACCTAGTGGCAGACGCCCTGAGCAGGAAGGCTAACCTTGCTGCCATTAGCTAACCAGAAGGGTCACTGGTGCCATGCATCAAGGAGGGACTTGCGCATGATCCTACAGCCAAGGCTCTCATGAAGTACGCCCAGGAAGGTAAGACTAGGTGATTTTAGGTGCAGGATGGTTTGTTGTGCACCAGGGGTAGTAGACTATTTGTAGCATAGCATGAAAAGCTCCACATGGAAGTTTTGTAAGAATGCCATGATTCAAGGTGGGCTGGACACCCAGGAGTGAGCCGTACCTTGGCACTGATCGAGGATCGGTACTATTGGCCGCACATGAGGGATGATGTGGAGGCCTATGTGAAGACTTGTCTTGTGTGCCCATAAGACAAGATGGAGCTCAAGAAACCAGACAATCTCTTAGAGCCATTGCCAGTGCCAAAGCAACCATGGGAGAGTGTTTCTCTAGACTTTATAGTTGGTCTACCCAAAGCAGAGGGGTTTGGAAGCATCATGGTAGTGGTGGACAGGTTTTCCAAGTATGGAATCTTCATTCCAGCAACTAAGGAGTGCCCAGCTGAGGAGGCAGCTCGATTGTTCCTGAAGAACATGGTTAAGTACTGAGGAGTGTGGAGGACCATTGTTAGTGATCGGGATGGCTGTTTCACGGGTAGGTTCTGAACTGAGTTGTTCAAGCAGTTGGGGTCAGACTTGAACTTTTCCCCCAGCATGCATTCATAGATCCATGGGCAAACAGAATGTGTGAATGGACTATTGGAGTCTACCTCAGGCACTATGTGAGTGCCATATAAAGGGACTAGCCAAAGCTACTAGATGTTGCATAGTTTTCCTACAACTTGCAAAGAAGCGAGGTAACGAACCAGAGCCAATTTGAGTTTGTGAAAGGGTAACAACCACTAACACCTGGTTCAATTGCTGTAGGTTATACAGGGTCGAATCCAGCAGCATACAAGTTTGCCAAGGCATGGCAGGAGCAAATTGACTTGGCCAGAGTCTATCTACACAAGGCGACAAAGAGGTCGAAGAAGTGGACAGACCAGAATAGGTAGGACATGCAATTCCAGGTTGGAGACTTGGTATTTGTGAAATTGCATCCCATTGTGTGCCACAGGGGGCTGTACAAAGGCCTAGTCCAAAGGTATAAGGGACCTTTCCAAGTAGTCAAGAGGGTAGGCAAGTTTCCCTACAAGCTGGATATGCCACCCAAGCCGAGGGTACACCCGGTGTTCCATGTAAGCATGCTCAAGCCGTTCCATAAGGATGAGGGAGATCCAAGATGGGTAGAGTCAAAGCATGCGCCATTGGGAGCAAGGGCCTCATATGAGAAGGTGGTCCACAGTGTCATAGCTGATTGCAAGGTGATACAAAAAAACTATCAACCAAGACAAGAGTAATTGGTGCGCTGGAAGGGACTTCCAGATAGTGAGGTGAGCTGGGAACCAGCAAAAGACTTATGGTAGTTCGGGGACTAGATCAGACGGTACCATACAGAGGACACAACGCGAGCATTGCACAATCAGGTGGGGGAGAATGTCACACCCTAGGCGGGTGCGCCAGGCACATCAGGCACACCAGCACGCGAGCCAGAGGTTGAGGCCCACAGACTGAGCGAGTTGGCGGGTATTTGCACGCAAAGCCTGAGAGATGAGGCCAGAATGCCCGCCCTTCTTACAGGTCAGCCCATGAGGCCAAGGCCTGGCATGCAGGATGCCCGCACCACATCCAAAAGGGCCCAAGTTGCTAGATATGCAAGTGAACATTCTGGAAGCTTGCAGGATCAGCAGGAGCTTCCTGGCAAATTTGGTTGACCCTAAAAATTAGGAGTTAGAATACTGATTGATTGTAATTTGTCTAATCCCTTGATTTTAGCCTTTATTCTAGGGATATTGCCATTAAGTGTAGTTGGAGCCTCAACTATAAATAGAGGGTTGCTCCACCCTCATTTGTACACCATTAAACACTTCTGTTTCAGTAAAGACAGAGCATATTCTAGCATTCTACCTTGTTATCCTGTTTCTCTTTAACTTGCATAATCAGCCCTTCCCATTGTTTTAGTGCCCGCATGCTTGTGTTTTAAGCTAACTTAGGCATAAAGGAGGAGATTCCAAGCCTAAGGCTGCACGGATTCTGAGTCTAAGGTTGGATCCCGTGACACCTGCACCAAGGCCCAGCATGTGCTGATGGTGTTTGAGGCAACCGCTCGCACCAAGGCCCAACATGTGCCGATGGTGTTTGAGGCAACCGCCTGCACCAGGGGCCATCTTCTATCGATGGTGGTTTAGGCAAGTGCCCGCACCAACGGCCTGCTTGTGCCGATGGTGCTTGAGGCAATCGCCCGTACCAAGGCCCAGCATGTGCCGATGGTGTTCGAGGCAACCGCATGCACCAGGGGTCATCTTCTACCAATTATGATCGAGGCATGGCATCTACCAATGGTGGTCCAAGCAAGTGCCTGTACCAATGGCCAGCTTGTGATGATGGTGGTTGAGGCATGTGCCCACACCAAGGCCCAACACGTGCCGATGGTGCTTGAGGCAACCGTCCGCACCAAGGGCCATCTTCTGTCAATGCTCATCGAGGCATGCATGTGTCGATGGTGGTCGAGGTAAGTTCCTGTTCCAAGGGCCAGCTTGTGCCGATGGCGGTCGAGGCAAGTGCCCGTACCAAAGGGCAACCTGTGCCGATGATGGTCGATGCATGTCCATCACCATACGCCATTGTGTGCCGTTGATGGTCGAGGCCTTGGTAAAAGTTCAATTTTGAGCCACAGTGCACATGCTGGGCTTGGGAATGTGCTGGTGCCACATTTTTTTTGCTCAGGGCACCATCGTCGGAGCATCGTCGGAGAACCTGACCGACGACATTGGGGGTTCCGACGATTGAGGGTCCGAGGGGGTGTGGGCACATGATGTGTGATGGGTGCTTGTACTTGGCCCTTATATTGGCCCCATATCCCTCAACAAACCTCAACAACTCACACCCTTTTAAAGAGCATATGAGATTTTACAGGTTTGCTGCTAGTAACCATTTAAGTGTCCGAAATGGGGACACTTTTTTCAAATGGCCACAAAATCTTCTGTACTTTGAGTTTTTAGCTGAATGTTTTTGTGCATTGCAAAAAAAATACAAGGATCAGATCTACCAAATTTGGGGCCAAAAATCGTTCTAAAAAAATTTTAAAAAATCTCGAACCGCAAAAAATTTCAAAAATTATGAAAAATAGAAAACGAGTCATCTTTCCATGAAACTTCACAGGAAGGCTTAAGGGACCATTGTATGAATTTACAAGCCATAAAAATGGTATTGGCATGGTAGAAATATGAATATGTGCCTAAACCCACCTACCACCCGATCGTGGCGCGCAAGGTGCTTGGCCCCGGGCTCAGGACACTCGCGCATGGTGCACGGGCGTTGGGGAGTGCTCATATGAATTCATGGACCACAAAAATGGCTTTGGCACTATAGAAACATGAAGATATCCCTCAACCCACCTACTACCCGATCATGGTGCGCAAGGTGCATAGCCCGGGCCCCGGTACGGCCGCTTGATGCACGACCCAGTGCAGGCTAATGCTATTTGAGGGAACTGCCCATACCAAGGTCCAGCATGCACCAATGGCAATTGAAGCATGTCTCAAGATCGAGGGCCAACATGTCTCGATGGTGGTCGAGGCATGTGATGTGTCATGGTCAGAAAGTAAGTTGGGACTGGCCCTGGGTTGTAGTAGGATAGGGTTCGATAGCAGGGGGATCAGGCCTTGAGGCCTACTCG